GACCCAGAACAGCGTCAACAGCTGGAGGAATTGCTAATAGAGTATTAGGATGCATTTGCTCAACATGATCTGGATATAGGCTGCTTTGATGGACATTACCCACAAGATAGACACTGGCATGGAGGTGCCCGTCCGTCATAAAATGAGGCGGACACCTGCCCATTTCCAAGATCAGGAGAGGGAACACCTTGATAAGATGCTGGCTGCCGGCGTTATACAACTCTCTTGCTCGGAATGGTCCTCCGGAGGTGGAGGAAGGGACAGAGGGCCCTGAGGGGGAGGGGAACTGGTCAGAGTTCCCCTTCTACGGAGAATCTGACACCATCCAAGGGATGGGAGAGGAGGCCAGTGAGCCTGAGGGGGAGGTCCTCGGTGAGGGGACCCAGGATCCCGAGTAGGAGCTGGCCTCCAGTGAGGAGGACGGGGGGTGGAGCTCCAAGCCTGGATCAGGATGGGCCCACCCCAGTTCATCCTAGATTTGCCCGTGGTCTCCGGGGAAGACCCTGTGGTTCCTGCTCCCAGGATCACTAGGACGGCACCGGTCGAGACCGATCAGGAGTCGGTCCGGCGGTTCCTGGGGTGGGGGGCCTTCAGGGCACCCCAAAGACCAGTGGAGGAGGCGGTTGAGGCAACCGCGCCGGTGCCCTTCCAGGGGGCCCCTTTTCCTCTCAATTCGGAGAAGGAGGCACCGGGAAAGGACCGGAAGCCCAGGAGGAGGAGGAGGAGGAGGAGGTCCAGAAGACGAAGGCGGTCAGCTGCCTCTGCGTCTCCCTCCACCTCCGGTCAACCTTCAGGACCCAGGCTGAACCTGCAGCCGGGTCCGGAGGTAGGCGGTCAACCTCCTGAGCGGTTTTCTGCTCGGAGGCAAGTTTGGGAGGAGCCTTCCATCGTCGTTCTCTGGCGAGCCGGCTAGGAACAAAGGGGGGAAAGGGGGTTCTAGGGCCCAGTCCCTGGGACTCCTCCCCTACATTCGTGTCCCTCAGCTGGCAAGCGAGCAAGGGGCATCGTCGTTCTCTGGCGAGCCGGCTAGGAACAAAGGGGTCAGGTACCGGAACTGTGACCTGTGCCCGGATGTTGACCACCACCCTAGGCGTCCCTCGGTTCACCTCAATTTGTTGGTGAACGTGGAGGGCGGATGCCTTGTTTGTGGGGTGGGCGTGAACAACCGGGAGCAGTTGACACAGCGACACCCTGATCATGAGGGCAGCCCCGAGGATGGCTGGGATGAATGGGTCAGGGGCCTGGTACGCATGCTCTGTGCACAGGCCCATGACTGCGGGGTCCCGGACGTCCTGGGTCTTCTTGCCCTTGTTGTGGAGGGTAGACATTACCCAGCGCGGGCTGTGGATGCTCCTCGTCCCTTCTCCCCCAGAGAGACCTTGGTGGCAGAAGCCATCAACGACTTCCTGGGGGATGATGGGCCGGTGTCCTTCAGTCTGCCCCGGTCCGTTGGCAGCCTTCTTCACTGGAGGCTGCAAGTGGCGATCATGAGGCTTATCCCCAGAGAGCGGCGCCAGGGGTACCTCGAGCCGAGGCGCTTTTTGGTCCCTGGCTCGGGGGCTGCCCCAAGGACCGGCTCCGATCGGCCAACTAGTTCCTCCAAGGGCGGTGTTACTGCCCCAAGACCATCCGGCCGATCGGAGGAGGTAGGTTCTGCGCCGGCTATGTGCTCCTCTGTCGATGGCGGTGACTCTGCCTCCAGAGGACCAAGTCCGCCTGTGCGCCCCCCTCTATGACTGCCACTTCCACCTGGATGCTCTGTTAGCGAAAGGCAGGGCAACCTCCTTCGCTGACTTAGCAGCTCAGGAGGAAGGTGGGGACGTAGTCCTTCTGGGCGGGGTGGCCTATTATGGTCTAGGCGCCAGGGCCAGGTGGCTGGTGACCCAAGGGTCAAGGTGGCCATTGGCCTGCACCCTCATAAAGTGGGGAGGGGACGCCACCTGATGGCTTTCCTGCAGCAGCTGCGGGACCCGGCCTGTACAGCTATAGGGGAGGTAGGCATCGACCTGACCTCCAATTGTAGCTGTGCGGGCCAGTGCCCCAAACCTGCAGAATGCCGGCAACAGGTCACCAGGGATCAGGTCACCACCTTGACCACTGTCCTGCAAGGGGCTGTGGTTGAGGGTGGTGGCCGACCGGTGATTATTCACTGCAAAGATGGGGGCAGTGGCCGGGCAGCGCAGGAGGCCCTCGGATGTTTCCGAAGGGTGCCAGGGGCCTCCACGCTGGCGGTGCATTGGCACTGTTTCACTGGGTCTGTGGAGGATATTGAGGCTTGGCGGCAGCTGCTTCCGAACCTCCATATCGGGGTGACGGTTCTATCCCTAAGAGCCCCCTCCACGCGACTGGCCCTGGGAGGCATTGACCCTAGCAGATTACTGCTGAAGCGGATGCCCCCTACTTGGTGCCTACGGGAGCCGGGGTTGGAATCAACAGCCCCTGGCTCCTAAGGCACACTCTGGAGGAATTGGCCTCGCTCAGGGGGGATAACTTGTACCTCCTGGCGAGCCAACTCAATGCCAATGCCAGGGGGTTCTACTCTTTCGAGTTAGGGACCTCCTGGCATAGCCAACTGTCGCCACCAGTAGTGCGGCACACCTGTAGTGTGGGGAGGGATTACTTCCCCACCAGCTTACTCCCGAACTCCGTGCAAGTAACCTTTCAGCACGTCAGAAGTACGGTTGTAGTAAGGGGAGTGGGATACTCTCCTTAACTCCAAACTCAAAGTGGGGGGCACTGAAGTAGCCCCCAGATTCGTCTGTGGCATCCACAGGCAGGGGAGGTTAAGCTTCCCTATTATCTTCCAAAACCAAGTCATCCTACATCTTTATACAAATTGGAAGGGCATTCTTTCCTTGACCATTTTATTGACTCCCTGGGTCCCTATTGTGATAAGACAGCTCCCTTTACCAGTAATTGGTAGGATAACAGCTTAAATGGGGCTGTCTACAGGCAGCATGCCCATCAATGCAATTTGCAAAGGAGCACACTGTCGGATTGACCAACAGTGTTACCACATACCCCATAGCTGATATTGGGCCCTGTCAGGGGGAGACTATTCTCATACTTATCAAGGCACGGGGTGGCTGTGCCTATTGTGTGGATTATATCCATAGCCGTGGTGTTCCTTGGGGAGATAAGCCCAGCAGGACTAGAAGCTGTGGTTATTGAGGTCTATATCAAACACTGGCCTCCACCACTAACCTCATCTCCAAATGGGTACGGTAGGACTGTACTTAACATATTGTTACTTAAGGAGTTACTAAACAACTTGTTGCTCAATTCTAGAAGGCGACAATGTGTTATCTACTTAATGGGGGTTCCGACCTTCACAAAATGCTGTTCACTTAAGGAGGGATCTGACCTTCACAAAACACTGTTTATTTAAGGGGGGTTTTGACCTCTCCATTAATCCACCTCTGGAGGGCCGACATCCGTCTGGCCGACTTAAANTAGTAGAAACACAAGTAGTTTGTTTGGCCTAATGTTTCTGTCATTTCATAATATTTAGAACTACTATACTTTTTTAAGTTTCCAAAACATCAAGTAGTATAACAATTGAAACTTCAATGACAGCCAACATCACAATGAATCTAATAATACAATGTTTATAACATGTTTTTTTTCAACTGAATGAGAAGAAATGTAAGGCCAAATATCCTCACAAACAACGCTTAAGTGAAATCAATTTGCAACTTAGCAGTTCGGAAATTTTGCAACACATCTGGAGAAAGACGTTCTTTGTGACGCTGTAATTCACTAGTGTAAAAAGTCCATTTATTTTGTTTGTTTTTGCATAATTACTGCTATCCCTACCGTAGAAGCACCTTCCTTTTTGTCATCGCCGCTGACAACATGCGCCATTCTCTGCGGCTTCGGCCGCATGCTTGGCCACAAGTCACCGAAATCGGGATACAGAGCCTTATTTATGAATCAGTAGTAGGTAAACGTTGCAGAAGTGTATGCATATTGTTCATTGTCAATGCTGCTTAAACAACATGCCTTACATTAGGTCAACATTCGCCTGCATTTTCGTCTTTTCCGCTTCGCGTTGCGAATGATGTCTAGGCCTACATGTACACAAAACGAAAGTAAAATGTGCGCATGTAAGGGAGATCAGGTGGTAGGTAAATCTTGTACCCCGTTCCCGGACACGAACTGAAACCCCGTACCGGGAATATAAAGATATTTTAATATCTCATTAACGCGATGGTTTACAATTTTTATAAAAATACAGGATAATTTCAAACATTATTTTCTAAATGTGACAATTACAAAAATGTTCATTTATTATCTTATAATTTAGAAATCGACGATAATGTGTTTTTCAAGGGGGTTAAACTTGTACGCCGCAGTCAACTGTGAAAATCACGTTTTTTCACAAATAACTAGAAATTTAGGGAAAATTAACATGTTATTTTCAGATATATAGAAGAAAAAACATTACTGTTGATAATTATGAAAGTTTCGTTGAAATAAACAACATATTTCACATGAAATTCTGACTTTGTTGTGATCGCGGGCGAGGAACCCGTACTAAGGGGACATAACTCTGTCAAGACTCGTGCTAAATATGCATAATATGTAAAAAAAAAAAAAAAAGTTAATACAACTATTTCATTATTTCTTTTTCATTTAATAATTTTTATGTTTCAGCTTTAGTCTTCAGACATGTGCTATTTCAAAATAATAAAACAATTCCTGTAGCATTTTTCAACCCTGATGATGCCAGGAGATGTTGTTATTCTGAAATTTCAATGAATTGTATGAATATTTCTATGCAGGTGGTAGCTGAGCATATTACAAAACTGCTAAATGGCGATGAGGACGGGCCAAAGGTCAGGGCACAGGAACGCTCAATGAACAGATTTGTAGGCTGTTGTCCTGATGAAGTATTTGAGACATATGTGAAGGAGGTAGGTAAAAAAACCCACTTATAGTATGTTGGGATGGTGCGGTGGATAACTCGCCATTCTTAAAGACGATGGGGTTGGATTTCCTAATTAGATAAGAAAGGTAAAGGGTCTTCTCTGATAAATCTGGATTCCTCCCACATTCAAACACCGTAAGCACTGCTATACAGGGTCATAAAAGGTAATTTGTGATGTAAACAGTATTTATATATATATTAATTGCATACTGTTTTATTACTAATGAAATACTTATATAGGTTTGCACTCCGTCTGTCCTTCCTTTCATTTCATTTTTCTTTCTTGCCAAGAAGGAACATATCTTTTATACTATTTCACTTGGAGTAACCAGATTTGGTGTACTAGGACATCTTGGGATGGCAGAGTGCAAGAATTAGGTCACTTTGACCTAGGACTTGACCTTTGACCTTAAATTTTGAAAAATTTGTCTGGGGCACATCTCCTGTACTAATTCATCTGGACAAATCAGATTTGTGTACAAGGACATCTTGGGATGATGGAGTGCAAAACCGAGGTCGCTTTTTCCTCACTTTGGCCTATGCTTCCTGACTTCGTGCAATGTTTGTTAATTATAGAAATCATAACTGATGAGTGACTGGATTGCCTTGCAATACTCTGCCTTAATATTCATCATTTAGGATTTTGTAATGTAACTATTTTCTTCTTATGTAATATTGCACCTATTTTTACCATATTTCACAGAAGAAAACAGTTGGACAGAAACGAAAAAGACAGCATGACCACCAAGCTGCGTAAGTATTACATGCAGTATTACAAGAGATTTATCTTTGGAAGTATGTGAATGTCTTGCGAAACAAATAATACAGTTTATAATTTTCCCCCAGTTACTAACTACCAGTTAACTTAAACCCTTCTTTTGTATCATGATGTGTTGTCTTGAAAAACACCAGTTTTCCAGTTTAATGCACTGATTTCTTCATACATTGATTATATATGTTGTAAATAATGCCAACAGAATACTCATGTATGCAAAGTTAAGTGGGTATCGGTTTAAAAAAAACTGTTAGCCGAAGCATTCCTTCTTCATTTTAATTGTCTGTAGTGCAAATTAAAATGTTTCACTGTCCATATTATGTGGATGTTTAATTTGTTGGTATCATAGTGAAATGTACAATTTATTGATGCAATCTGACTGTTAAAATGAGGTCATGTAATGGATGAAAGTTGTAATCTTCAGGCATGCCAGTAGAATTTGTTGTCTACACTATAGTGACTACTTCCATTCTTATTTTGTTTAAGAATATAACAATGTAGAGTATGAGAGGATTGCCCTCGATTTGGATTTGTATCACTTGCATTGCCTTGGATATTGGCAAAGTTTTGTGTAGATTGATTATTTTTCACACCCAACTGTAATCCAGAATTGACATCACATATTTACAAAAAAAATAATTTAATTCTTTTTATTTCTCTGACACAGCAATGGTGAAAGCGCAGCAGAAACAAACATGGAGAAAAGGTGAATATAACTCGGTGTATTTGTTTTTAAGCTTCTATATTATTATTATTATTTAATATACACAGATTAGTATATTTTGGGCAGGCATAAATGAGGTATGGTTTTTCTTTTGAAATTATATCAAATTTGCTTTATTTGAACAATTAATTTTAAGAAATGGCTGTTATTGAGATGCCTCAACTGGTTTCCCTGTCTAGGGCTGAAATGTGACAATTATTTCGTTTTTTGGGTCTATTTTTTAACATATGTCATCTTTGTAATTGAAGGATTATGCTCTCGATTCGTCTCATTACATTTCTTGATAAAATGAAAGTGCCACCGTTGGAATGATTTGGTGTCTATCAGACTTGTGATTGGTCAACTTTTTGTGTCTGGAACCAAAAAGACAATAAATCTTTAAATTTTACATTCTGTAATGTGATATGCAATATATAGGGCAAAAGTGATAGGGGTAGGGAGGGGTGTACTACAAAAATCAAAATGTTACTTTTTAAAATGTGGCGACAGTATGACAAAAGGGACTGTTGCGCGTTGCAATTTAGTGACATAGTTCTTTTTTACCAAAATGATAAATAACGAAAGAGCAAATCCATATTTTTTTTTTGATGATATGATTAAATTCTATATCAAAATCAAAAGTTGAGGATTGTCTAGATAATTACAACATTTCATTTATAGATACCCCAAAGGACACTTACCTCCTGCACCTTTTACTCTGACTTGTGAAGAGAAGAAGCAAGCTGATGCGAGGCTGTCTTCTATGCACTTCCCAGTAGGTTTCGGTGATGTACCAGGTAGCCTTTTCACACACATACGTGGGGGAGTGAAGTCACACACATGGAATCGGGTATAATTTTGTTTGTTTTTGTATTGTTTTATGGCCGATCGACAATTGAAGTCATTTAGGACATTTGTTACATTCAGCAAAAATTAGAAATCAAACCAAATAATTATATCATATTACTGTAACCATATTGGTCATTTTAACAGTTCGATAATTCCAAGACGGACAATTTAGTTTAAATATGAAGCATCTGTGATTCCAACATGTAGATATGTATCGCCTTTATGAGATATTGTATATTTGAAAGTGGTTCAACTTTTCACTGCCTTTAATTGTGAAAAATTGTGATCAATAACAAAAATGTTAACTCTTTTTTATTCATTTTGCAGTTGTTTACCAATGGAGTGTTGCGGTATTGTTTGAGGGGTATGCTTGGTACTGAGCAGCGGGAGTCTCTCAACAACTTCTTGATGGGATTGGAGACTCTTTTCAAATCGCCTTCAGACCTGAACACCAACGACCAAGTTGCAGAAGGATGGCATGTCACTCTATGCAGAATGGAAAGGGATTTCCCTTTATCTCTACAGGTAAATGGAACACATACGCAATATTTTTGTTGCGTTTTTTGGCCGCCTTATTATATTACCAATATGACTGTTCTTTTTTCTGATTTTTTTTTCACCTTGTATACAAAATGATAATGAATGTAACTGAAAAATCCTTATATAAAGGATGTTTTCACAGTTTTAATGACATTTTGTGAAAAATTCAGTGTATTTGGATATTATTTCCCAAAGCAGCTAGATAAGTCGCTAATTAGGTCTAAGGTTCATTTAAAAGTGAAATCTTTTGAAGAGTTATCTTCTAAAGCCAAATTCTTCAAAAATGTTTTTTTAGATATATGATGGGGATTAATTGGCACCAGAGTTGTCTCGTGTGGAGTTGATTGTCTGACGAGACTGATTGTTAAATGTCATGTGTCGAAAGATTATAATGATTCATGTTTATGATCTGCCCATGAAAGAAACGATGATGAGTGGTTGATACTCTACTTAAATAACAATTATCCGTATTAGTACATGGTCAAAAAAGGCCATATGGTAAAGGGTACCCATCAGATTGTTACACAGTAAGTAAGGCAGCAGAAGGACTCTTGAACAGTCAGTTGTTTCTGTTGCATGATTGTATAATGCTGGATTTTTGTTGCAGAGCTTTGTGATGCATTTACTCCATCATCTGCCAAGTTATGTGAAGTTGTATGGACCTCCTAGCAACTTCTGGATGTTTCCCTATGAAAGATTCATTAAGACCCTGTCTGAATGTATCACTAACTCCAGGTACCCAGAGCTGAATGTAGTCAAGAAGATGGAGGTACAGTCTGATGTAACAATGATAACAATGTTGATAATTTGACAATAAATAAAAATGTCCAGAACTAATTATATCAACAAAAATTAGCTGGTATCAGTAGCGAGAGCAGCACATAGGTAAAAAGTATAATTGAGGTCTAATGTTGTGTTCATAATAATTAAGATGGTAAATTGAATGATGGGGAGAGGGAGGGGGTGGAATTGTAATTTTTGATAGGAGACTGCATCCATTGACAGATAGGTCAGTCAGGCATGCATGTATGCAAATTTGGTTATACATTTTTTGTATGTAAACCAGATCTTGTCAATCTGCCTTTAAACTACCAATTTTGAAGAAAAGAAAAAAATATGTTTATTATGTATGCTTACCAAAGCTTACATGGGGATATTAATTTCTTTTCTTGTTTGATTTGATAGACTCAATGGTTGGTGAATATGCTGGATATTGCTGGTTTCCTTGAACCGCTGCGCAGTAGACCTGAGCCCCAACAGACAGGCTTGCGCTACTTGGAACAAGGGGCCTACAGACCAAAGCCACAACCAGTCAATGAACTAGAGCGCAAGGCACTTGCTCGACTGTTTGGGATACCAGCACTCACCAACCAGTGTATCACTGTCTTCCACTACGCGAAGAGACATCTTGGAGGATCAGAGGTACAGTATAGAGACAGTTCCGTGGAGGACCCTAACCAACGAGAAAAAGCCTGCATGGTTGCCTGCGATCTGCCTCAGGGCCAGTTTGTGGGTGTAGTGAAGTACTTTTTCTCGTGTGTAATGAACACTGACACCCATGAACTGGTTTTCATGGAGTGGATAGGCAAACCGGAACAGTGCTCTGACTCGAAGTGCTTCAAGGTTCAGAGGACTCTACGACCACCACCCCCTTTAACATGGGTGTCACAGCTGTCTGCACCTTTGATTTATGCCTGGGATAAGGAGGTGCTTTGGATTCCAATGATGTGATAACAATGACAGGGCAAAACCGATTTGAAAGGGGAATCATCTGTTCAAAAGTGTTCATTGTGTAAATAAATTTCGAACTGTTTGTAAAGAGGATTTGGTTCCATAGTGGCACTCATATTTGAGGAGACCGAAACCAAAGTTCCCTGAATGCTTGTTTGTTTGTATAGAATGTAACTATTTTGACATGCACTTAATATTTGTACATATTTATAAGATTGACATTATTAGAATAGGCTAAAGTGGCTTTGGTTCCATAGTGGCACTCATATTTGAGGAGACCGTAACCAAAGTTCCCTGAATGCTTGTTTGTTTGTATAGAATGTAACTATTTTGACATGCACTTAATATTTGTACATATTTATAAGATTGAAATTATTAGAATAGGCTAAAGTGGCTTTGGTTCCATAGTGGCACTCAGATTTGAGGAGACCGAAACCAAAGTTCTATTTGTTTATTTAAAGTGTACATTCACATAGGTCTCTGTTTGTCTGTCTGTCTCTCTCTTTCTCTTTCTTATTTAACAACTTTTTGGCATGCTGCATATATAGCTTTATTTTATAGGTGCAATGTAGGTGAGTATTTCATGAATGTGTACATGTTAACTGCATACATGTATATTCATAGAGTGTATAAAGAACTAAAAATAAACATCTGATAAGGTCGCATGCATGGATACCAAGGGAGTCTATTCCAGGGTGGACTGCTACTCGTCCACCCATTAAACGGGATATTCCAAGACTCTGAGAGATCTGGAGTCCCCTGTGCCAAACCCCCTGTTTCCAACTCCACATTTACAGCTTCATCTCTGCTTCAGGAGCTTTTTCATAAGTGAAGATCTGTAATGTTGTGTATAAATACCACCTCATTAAAAGCAACCATCACATCTTCATCCCCTACGTATGTTAAAGGTAAATAAGTAGGGTACCCTCGTAAGAACATCGATTCTGGCACTTTCTCTACCTCTTCACTTTTCACTCGCATAACTATATCGCTATCAAATATGTAATACATGTGCAACACATTGCTATTGTAAGTTAGGTAAGTAGGTGATCAAAGACACTAGTCACAATCTCCTGAAAGACTGTTCGCTTAACCAGAAATGGTGTCAAAGCAACCAAATGCTTGCCTGTTTGCAATTTTATCACGCGTTTAAAAATTTGTTAGCAAAAAAGTTAATTTCAAAACAGGTGAAAAGTAAATAAAGAAATGAAATTATTTCTTTATTTTAACTTCACTTCATTAATATTTTACCCCATTGGAACCTGTATGCAAAACGTCCACATATCGTCTATTAAAAATATAAACCTTCAAACTAAACAAAAAAACACTATTTCTTAGTCACCATTTACATTTCCCCCATTCGGAAAATAGTACGGCTAAATCCAGCATGTTGGTACGGATCGCCAAACAAAACCCTCTTGTAATAACGACATGGTTATCTCGTTATAACAACTCACTATCTCGTAATAACGAAGTGAGTTATTACAAAAAAGTGATGGTTATTACGAGATGACAAACTATATAGTTTTTTCCTCAGCTACCTTTTCTGGTTACCGTAAGAGTGAGCAATTAGGGTGAATAATACATGGGTATACAGAATTAACCAGGCAAATATAAGTGAAACAAGTTCTTTTAATTTAAAATCTGCATATATAATATCGAGAAAATAACACAGAATATAGGTCTCTGCCGATTTATTATAGGCTTTTTGTGCAGAGGTATTATGATAATTTGATGAAATGGTATCACACAAGGGAACTTTTTTTATGAGAGATGTTTATGTTCACGTGCAACTATCTTGTCAAAGCAGATTTACTTCAATGTAGGTGAGGTGTGATGAGTGTAATTAGGTTGATTATGGTAAGAATAACAAACTATAGAACACATACTCGATACTTGTGATTTTAGCAGCGACATGTCCACGGGTAACGAATATAGGTGAACTCTATTGTACACAATAAAACAGGTTGGTTTTAATAAGCCTATTACAAAGTGGCATCATGAACGCTATCACAACATTAATTGAAATTGTCCTTTGATAATGCGCGTCACATCAAATTAGCATATGTTATTATTTTGACTCGTGATTAATTGCTCAAAGTGTCACCAATTACATGCTCACCATAAATACGACTGAATGGCGTACAAGAAACCATTCGCCATGAATACATTCCAAGAATCGATGTACCGGTATCTGTCCAGGGATGAGAAGATTTGCATCATGGGCCATAGCTTCATCAGACGAC